CTAAGTGAGTCTTCCGATCGAGTCTCAGTAAAAAAATAAAGACAATCATCAATTCATTTTTATTTTTTATTAAAAGATTTGAAGCAGCATAAAACCAAAACGCACAGAAACATCACATGAAAATATAACTTACTGTTGATTTAGTGTTTTGTTAATTCACATCATGACCAAACGTTTTAAAGCCGAAGGAGAAAGTGTTTGCTCCTGATTCGAGGCTTAAGATTCACGTAAACACGATATTCGTCTCCATGAGGACGACGAGCCTCCACGTCGTCTCACGCAGCAGGACGATCACAGTTCGACCGACAGCAGCTACAGGAGCTCAGAGGGAATCTCCTGCACATCTGGAGCTGCGACGAGCAGCAGCATGTTTCTGTCCAGTGAGAAGCTGCATCACACTCACACATCTGCGGACGGGAGCACGTTTCCCCCGAGTTCATTAGTGTCCGAGTGTAAATACCTTTAAATATTATTTGACAGTGTTCAAGCACAAAGTGAGAAAAAAAAAATGATTAAAACACACACACAAGAGGTCTTGCACTCACACAAAGTGACCAACAGTGAACAACTCTGTTTCTGTGACACAAACTTAAAACAATTCGCGCCGTGACAAACACTGAGAGCTTCAGGACGAAGGCGGAGTTCTTAAGCACGAGAAGCAGCTGTTGATGCCTCAGTTTGGTTCATGAGGTGTTTAAATGTTATATGTGACAATGCAAACATGTGAAACTTTGGCTCCAGACGTTTTTCTGGAACGTCTCCTCCCGACCCCCTGGTTCAGTGTCGGAGTGAATCCATGTGAGAATGCAGTGGGGTGATGTGTGGAGAATTCACAGGGTGAAGAAGACGAGGAGATTCCAGAGCTTTTGGTGATGAGGGCCGACGCCGGTGTGGATGCGCTGTCACCTCCCGCTGCTCTACAGGCTCCAACATGTTCTTGTGAACGAGTCGGACCCGGACGGTCTGCTGCTGCTGCTTCACAGGAGAAACTCAAACGCTGGAAAATGTCCGGACCCGATTCTGAAATCAGCTTCAGTGTCTGCGCTCGGCCGGACGTGAACGAGAAGTGAGGCCTCGCTGTCGTCTTCGAGACGTTTTCCATCCTCACGACATTCCATTGTGGTAAAATTCAGTTTCTTTAAAAATGGTGTTGCAACACTCAACCCTCACACTCCAGCCTCTCCTGCCCCCAGCTGTCGTCCGCCGGGGCCCAGTGGAGCTCGTAGCCCTTGGACAGCACCAGACTCTCCAGGTCTCTGTCCTCGGCCTTCTCCTTCAGCCTCTGCTCCTCCAGCACAGACACCAACATGTCTCGTTTCTCCACCGTCCTCATGATCTCCGACAGCATCTGCTGCTCCTCTCGGAGCTCGGAGGCGCTCTTCTCCGTATCTGGAGAAAGAGGAGGACGTTAACTACATACTATATAAATATACATAATAATATATATATTCCTTCTTTACCCTCGATGGCCATTCGGCATCGCAGGTCTTGTTGCAGGCGGCTCTGTGTGTCCTCCAGTTCAAGCTCTTGGGCACTAAGAGGAGGAGAAGAACACTGAGTCTCCTCATCTGGGGAGGAGGAGGAATTGTGTCTGTGTGTGATCTGACGCCGCAACTTACAAGATCATGAGTTCAGACTCGTAGCGAGCCAACCTGTTCTTCTCCAGAACAAGTTTGAACCAGGACTGATAGAGCCGGGCCTCGTCACCGTCCGTCTGGGAGGATTCTGGGAGGGGAGGAGAGAGCGTGGAAGGAGGGCGACAGAGGATGGAAGGATTGAGGGAGGTGGAGAGGCAGAGATGAATGAATGTAGCAGGGTTCAGAGGGAAGGACGGAGAAGAAAGAGCAAAATATTTCAGTTTTATGTCAATTAGCCACATTACAAATAAAAAAAGACACACACACACACACACACACACACACGACCTCACTCTTCACTCGAGCACAAACAAAAGCTCTGTACTGTAGAAAAAAGAGAAAGAAGCATCTATAAAGTGTCAGTGTCTATTGTGAGTGGAGCCATTAACTGTGTGTCGAGGCTTTTAACCAGAACCAGTCCACAATGCAACGCTTTCTTCTGAATGGCCTGAGAAGTGCGGGCGCAGCACTTAAAGAGGAGAAGAAGAAGAAGAAGAACGAGGGTTTCACAGCTGAAAAAAACCACCGAGGCGCTTTAAAGATTGAAACGAGGTGTTCAGGTGACATGTGAGTGTTAGTGGCTCTATAACTATATAAAGTCATAACGTCGAGAGAAATTCTCTCTACGGGAGGAAGGTGTGATTTCACGAGAGTTTTTCAGGTTCCAACCAGAGAATTCAAATCTAATATCAGGTAAGAAAATAAATCACAGTATTTGTTATTGACATTTGTTTTATTGCCCATAGTAGAGGGCTTCTAATGAAATGTTTGTCTGAGGCTGCTAAAACACTAAAATCATAATTTTATAAAAATAAAGTTGTTCAAATGTGGAGCGTCTTGATTTTTAGTTTCATTGTTCTCAACATTTCAGATTTTGTTTCTGAGACACAGATCTGTGGTCTGTGTGCAGACGTGTTGTTTGTACCAGTTTCTCCTCTGATCATCTTCTCTATCATCACCCCTCTCTCCTCGACGTCTCTCTGCTTCTCTCCGACTTCCTCCAGTTGTCTCTGAATCACCTGGACAATTCATAAAATCACATTCCATGACACATGAATCAAACGAGATCAATTTACACAAAGCCATAACGTGACAGGAGTAAATCTTTATCCATCAGATAAATGTTAAAAAATGTGAAACGATGATGATGTGGCAGCTAACGGCTCTTCAGTCTGACACTGGATATTTTCACTTTGTCTGTGTCAAGGCGGACGTGAACATCCAGCGAGGTGAGGCCACTGACGGCTCCTTCAGCTTGAAGAAGAAAAGCACCTGAGCTCTGTGAAGTCTCTTCAGCTGTTCCCTTTTCGTCTGCTGAGCCACGACCTTCTCCTGCTTCCTCCTCTGTCTCTCTGGACACGGCTGAGACAGGAAGTACAAGTCATTTCAGGAGACGAACGCGTATAAATAGATGAGTTGTTAACACGGAGACATTTAGCTGCACTGTCGTCTCACAGCACAAACACACGATCGGTACCTGAAACCTCTGACGGAGCCGCGGGTTTTCATTTTCATCGTCACTGGAGGAAGGAGCTTCAACAGTCTGTTGACTGGAGGCTGAACAAAATAAATAAATAACGATCGTAATAAAGTTAGATATATTTTCCACAAGCTGAATGTGTCTGGAATCTGCGCTGACCTTTGTTTCTGAGGTTGGTGAGAATGGTCCTGATCTCCTTCTGCACCTCCTGCTCCTTCCCCTCGCTCTCCGACACCTCCCTCTTCCTCAGCCTCAGGGAGGAGAACAGGTTGAGCCTCCTGCGGGGCAGCGAGCCCATGTCGTCAGAAAACAGCCCTCCGGAGTCTCTGCGGCTCTTCAGGGACACCTGCTGCAGCAGCGAGGGCAGATCCCGCCCGGCCCCCCACGGATCGGCCCCTGCAGACGCCCACCGTACTTTAGGCTTCTCCTCCTCATCCACCTCCTCCTCCTCCTCCTCTCTGGATGGCTCTTGATTCATGGAACTGAAGAGGGAGCCAAAGCTGAACGCTCCCTCCGACATGGGCCTCTGCCTGAGGGGGCCGTTTCGTTTATGTCTCCTGGTGAAGACGAGACAAATAAAAAAAACTGTGCATTCAATTTGAATTTAAAATCAAAAGACCCAAAGTTCTCTTTGTCTTTGCAGACGGCAGAGTGATTCCGGTTCTCATGAACAAAGTGTTTCACACGTACATCATGACCGCGGTGTTGGAGCCACTTGAGGGATTGGTCGCACTGAACGTCCTCCTGAAGGCACTGGCTATGAGCTGGAAGGCTGAGTGGGAGGAGGTTTGGCTCCGGGACGGTTCTCCGTCCTGGCTCGACTCTGCACGAGGCTTATCTGCTCCCGTCTCTGCCGGCACCTGATAAAAACATCCGAGGGCAGAAAACAATGCAGCGGAATTAATTCATCTTACCTGCGTTACATCACGACTCTGTCACGCTGTAGAAGAGGCGGATTAAGAGATCCGGGTTTATTCTTCTCTTAAAAACAACCTGATGAACATGTAGAGACTCCACCTGGACTTGCTGCGGAGGTTTGGTGTCTGTGCTCAGGGGAGTTTCCTCAGGTGTGACCCCGACGTCCCAGTTTAACAGCTTCTCTTTGTCAGCAACAGAAATCCTTAATCGAGTCTTCGGTGGGGAAACTGTTGTCACGGCAGCTTCTTCACTCTTCTCGCTTCTCTCCGAACGATTCTGTGGCTCTGACGTCTTCAAACTTCCACCGCAGGTCTGAGAGGATGGACACAGAGTCAGCGCCGGAAGAAGTCAAGTCAGAATGTCAACAGATCTGAATAATGTGTGACGTACAGTTTGTATTTCTGCTGCTGTGATCTCCTCAAAGTCCTCAGGTACCGTCTCTGGAGCGTCTCTGTCCACAGGTGATCGTCTCTGGAAGTGTTTGATGAAGAGGAGAGGGAAGGCTGCGCACACACACACACACACACACAACAGACATTATTCAAAATAAAATACTACAAGTACTGGATCAGTTAACTACAGACCACAAAAGAATAAAATGAGTATTAGCAGTAGAACGCTAACGTGAGAAGGAGGAGTCTGATGTGTGAGTGTGAACGAGGAGAACGTTTCCTCCTTCACTCCCTGAGCGTCTGTTGTCTGGTGAGCGGGTTCGATCTCCTGTGACGAGAAGTGACTGAGACAGATGTTTTGTTCACAGCTGCACAGATGTGACCTCGGTGAAACTTACTTCATGTGTTGAAAAGAGACCAATACTGACCTCTAGTGGTTCAGATGTAGCATTACAACTGTACCTTGTTGCTGAGGCACTTGAGATGATAACAATTATGTAATTTATAACCTAATACACACATTTGCACTGCGTGTACAGTATAAACAGTACACATGTGTATATTGTATGTGTGTACTTTGTCGCTGAAGCCGCAGAAAAACACCAATAAAGACTCAAATTGAGTTTTCTCCTCAGATCCTACGGCCGTAACTTCTCCTTTGAGAATAAAATTACAAATATGAACGTGAAGATAAAAACACCAATGAACAGACGCACGTATGAAAAATCAGAGTTACTCACTCGCTCTGATCTTCTTTCTCCATCGATGGTTCTGTTTGGTGCTTGAATGATCTGCGGAGACAGAGGACAGAGACCAGAAACTAAATAAAGAGACAGGAAGGTTTGGATACGGCGTCTAATGAGACGTTAAGTCTGTGATTAAACTGTAAAATATCAAGCATCAAGTACACTTCTTTGTCACAAGGGTTTCATGATGACATATTAAGAATCA